TGGTTTGAGCCTGTTTAATCCAGACTGCAGCAGATGAGGGGCTCAGATGGCCCCAGCACGGCTGTCATGATTGAGGTTATTTTTCCATCGCTGTGTTTGTGGACAGTCTGGGTTTCTGAGGTAGCAGAACTACAGGCAACAAATGTCATCTTAATTTAAAATCAGTTCAGTCCAATCAGAGATATTCACACTTTTCTTTTTTGTTTCTAGTAAATAGATAATTCTACTAGGACTGAAACATTTAATTGGATTAATCAATTATTGAAATCATCAACTAATCGATTAATGGTTAACTGGAGTATAGAGACTGTAATACATGCCTGTAGCTTACAGAGCAACCCTCTTAGGGTAGGAATTATACCAAGATTATAAAAAATATATAAATATTTTTGCATCTAAGATAAAAAAAAATCTATTTCATCTGTCAATTTGCCCTATCGAGAACTCCTCACGTGGTAATGTTTCAGTTTCACCTGGTTTATTAAAAAAAAAAAAAATCTTGCATCCCTAAATTCTACCGGGTTAGTAAAACCATTCCCTCATCTAGGAAACTAAATGTGTTTATATCTCATGTAAGGATGAAAAATGTTTGTAAAATTGATGTTTACGTCTCCAATGTCACCCTCATCTGCCTGCTGATCAACAGAATGCTGCACGTAGTGGAGCTAATCAACATGTATCTCTTGGCTTCTTATATTCCTGTGTTTTAATTGTCAGAAAGAGGACAAAGAAGTAATGGGACAGGACAAGTCAGGATTTCCCAATCAGAGGTTTAAAAAGCAAAGAAATGTCCAAGATCATGTTTGCAAAGAAAAATGATGATGCCCAGAGGGATAAAAGTAGCACTCAGAATACAATGTAAACTTTGGTTTTCAATGAGGCGCGAGCTAAAACTAAAGAAGCTGCCAAGTTGATGTATACTTGAGTAAATACTGCCAGCAGAAGGTGATGGTGTGTAAACGTATTTTGAGACCGAAGCAGAACTAAGTAAACACTATTAAGGTGAAAGCTTGGCGTATATAGTGTTATTTTAACATGAACATATGGATTTTGGTGTTTTATTGGCATTATGTCACATGGCACCTATAAAGGGCTGGTTATACTCCCTGCAGCAGTGTGTCGCAGTGAGCTTGAAGCAGACATTTTTGATTTATGCTCAATTTTGGGCGTGGACCACGCTATACGCTGCGGGTCTAGATACGGCCAAGGTGGTGAGGAAGTGGGGGCAAGTTTGTCCAACAACGGAGGGAGATGAGGGCGAAAAAGAGTGGGGAGCCAGGTGGAAAAAGGGTCCCAGCGTTCTCGCGCACCTCGCTCTTCTAGCTGGTCCAACTTCATGAGTTGTTTTTCGCAATTGGGGTCATAAAAACAAAACAAGCCGACCTCCTGTCTGCGGCACTGTCTGCGGTTACATACAATTTGGGAGAGGTGCAGCGGAGTGTCTGCAGAGAGGGCAAGGACGTCTTTTTGTTCACTGCGACACCTATGCAGGCTACCTAGTTTCGAAGTATAAATCAGCCTTAAGTCAATGGTGCAAGGAGATGGTGCCAAGTGGAATTTCTTATATTGCAGCAAATCAAAATTTACTTTTGTCGTTCTTTCATCATGAAAGTGCAGGCATATGAAGAGAAGGTCTGTGGGCTGTCATTATTACGGCCGGGAAAGTCCTGTAGTAATGGACTCTGGGAAAACAAGCTTTCAAAAACAGAAAGTTTAAATAAAATCACATTTTATTTTTGGGAAAAAATAATCGCAATTTAGATTTTTAGCAAAATCATTCATCCCTAACGGGAAGCAACACTTTAAGTGACTATTGATCTGAATTGTTTATTTTGGTAAACCAAGCTAACTTTGGTGAAAGTTCTAAAACTTAGAGCTTTGCTAACGTTGATGCTGACATTAATGCTGACGTTAATGGTAACGTTGATGTTAACGTTCATGCTAACGTTAATGCTAACATTGATGCTGACGTTCATGCTGACGTTGATGCTAACGTTGATGCTAACGTTGATGCTAACGTTGATGCTGACGTTGATGCTAACGTTAATGCTGACGTTGATGCTGACGTTGATGCTGACGTTGACGTTATTGTTAACATTGATGCTGACGTCGATGCTAACGTTGATGCTAACGTTGATGCTAACGTTAATGCTGACGTTGATGCTGACGTTGACGTTATTGTTAACATTGATGCTGACGTTGATGCTGAAATTGATGCTGAAGTTGATGCTGATGTTTATGCTAACGTTGATGCTGACATTAATGCTAACCTTTATGCTAACGTTGATGCTGACGTTGATGCTAACATTGAAGTTGACATTGATGCTAACGTTGATGCCAATGTTAACGCTAACGTTTATGCTAACATTGATGCTGACGTTGATACTAATGTTGATGCTCATTCCACCTCCAGGACCGATTTGCCTCTGCTTAAAATAAACTTAAACAAAGCTTCGATAATCACAGCACAATTTTTACAGCGACTCAGTAAAACTCAACCTTACCTGAGGCTTTAGCAAACCTTAAGGCAAAGAGAGCATCATTTCCTCCTCCATCAAGTCAGTAGTTATTTCAAAGGCAGTAATGGAAACATTAACATTAAGATCCAGACCTTCCACCAACAGAGGAGAATGATAAGGGACAGAATCAGGCTTGCTTTAGGGGAAGAGATAAAGTACATAAAAAAACAGAAGCAGGTTTTCTTTAAGTGAAAGATCAGACTGCATAATTATAATATTTCCACATTTAATTAATAAAGCAAAGCAGTTTTTTCCAAGCTAAACATGAGCAAACAATGTTAGAAGAACAAGAAATGAGCTTCAGTAGATGTCTGGTGTTCAGGTCTGCCACCATTTACATTTTCTGCGACTTCTTTTGCAGTTTGGGGAATTTAAATAACTGTGTTCCACCCTCTAAATACTTGCAAATACTTGGATGAGCATGTCTGAAAGGCAGGTTCAACCGTAGCTTTAGCCCTTTAAACTAAATTCCCAAAGTTGACAGAGACATGGTGAGCTTCCAGGTTTGATTCACTGGTGGCTTCAGGCTTTAAATTTATGAAAATTAAAGTTGTTGAGTTTAAAAGTTGTAGGGTAAAGTAGAGTTTGAACAGAGAGCCCATTTCCAGCCCATCACCATCACACACATTTTAACATGAAAAAGTCTAATTTCCAGGTGTTTGGAAGAAAAACTGGTTTAATAAATATGGATCATTCTTTAAAAGAGGACTAAAGCTAAGGAACCTGTCCAACACAGCATATTTCTAAACTAGCTTTACTTCTCTTTAGGGTTGAAACAATTAATTGGATTAATTGATTATTGAAATATTGGTCAATTCATCTAGTAATAGATTAATCATTAACTGGAGTATAGAGACTGTAAAACATGCCTGGAGCAGACAGAGCGACCCACTTAGAGCAGATTATACCAAGATTGTAAAAAATATATAAACATTTTTCATTTAAGATAGAAATATATTTTTCATATGTCAATCTACTCTATCCAGAACTCCTCAAGAGGAAAAGTTTTAGTTTCACCTGGTTTAATTTTGTAAAAAGACTTCCCGAACTTTTTTTTATCTGATTATTAATCGATTAATCAAAAAAATAATCGACAGATTAATCGATTTGTGAAATAATGTTTAGTTGCAGCCCTAGTTTAATATCTCTGTCATATGATCTCTGGTCACTCTGACACTTTATCCAATGTTTCATCAAAAATCTTTGAACTTTAAACTGTGTTAAAATGTCTCCCTTTAAACTGTTAAATGTTAAAAGTTTAAGTCACATTTGATCTTTATTCTTGTCAATTTGACAGATTTGAATAACTGAGTTATCATTTGCTTGTTGCGCTTCATATTTCATTAGTTTTCCAAAAAAAGCTGTGCTGAAAACGTAATCAAGGAGCACGCCTAGAAAGTTGACTTTGGAAGTCGTCAACATTCCAGGTCCAGGTTGCCACGACAACCCTGTCTGCACCGCTTCCCCCAGAAGATGCCAGGTTTAGGAAGCAGGGCAGGCTGGGCTAACGTTTCTATTTAGACAAAAGATGCCTTTACAGTGTCAGTAAAAGAGCTGATGGGAATGCTTTGGCTCAGGGATTTGTTCAGCAGGTTTTTTTCTGATGTCAGGCAGAAGCTGAGCAGAAAGAGAGAGGGAGAACTTGGTACGATGTGGCAAGAAAAGTGCTCGAATCCAGTTGGGTCATGTCTTGTCTCTGAGTTAGAGAAAATGGCGGACAGATGATGGCTAACCATGCAGTTTGTGAAGCTCAGTTGTTACACCTTTGGCTCAGATTTTCCCTGCAGACCTGAAGCTTTATTGAAACAGACAGCCTCACTCCAGCCGTTCCTTTGCTGCACTGCGGCTGTAGTGATATTCAGCTGCCAGCGGCTGTCTGGCAGCGCCACAGTTAATGTTAGCTGACCGTAGCATGCCTGATTACACTGGCATCTCCCTCATGCTCTGCTCTACCCTCTCTGCTATCTGCGGTCTTGGCTAAGTTGAGCTAACCTCTCACCACGTTACTGTTGGCCAGGAGGAGGAGCTCTGTGGCAATTCTGCGGCCTGCTTTGGAAAAGTGACAGACGACTCTGTTATACTGGTTATTATTATTAATTCCTTCTGCCAAGGAGATCCTGAGCTTAGAGGATTTCCATTTATCTTTTCTGTAAGATTCCTGTAAAACTGGGATTTGGATTGATTTAGAAACAAACAGGATTCTTCTTCCAGGATAGGAGGAGGTCTGCACTTTCAGACTAGTCTGTGTCATATTTTACTGCTGAGAAATGGAGCCACAGCAGCTTAAGAATGTTCTGTAATTTCTGTTTAAATGTTGCTTTTGGATTTTTCCCGGCAGATCGGATGCCAGAGTCATTCCTGGCTGATTATGTAATGTGATATCATTCTTTTCTTGATAGAGTTCTCAGGGAAGGATTTAGCATTAAAGTGTTTTGTTTTGTTTTCTTGGTATCTAAAATAAACTCTTTTTCATGCTTTTAGGGGGAACTTCAAGTTGGTTTCTAGAAAACTCTTCCCTGACCAAGACACATTTAAGGGTAAGTCCGCCCAGATCTCTCTCCATTTGTTTGATGAACTTTAAGTTAAGCTGATCTGCTGCCAGCTGCAGTCAGCCGTCACAGAGACGCCTTGCTGCCAAAAATGAGATGTTTTGATGATGATGTCACCTGCAGTGTCACATGAGTAGGTTCACCTCCTCCTCCCTTACATGTTTTGATACTTTGACCATTTGGCACAAACCCGTAGATCCGATCTTGTGGCAAATCTAACAGCACAAGCTCGCTTCTGTGGGTCTTTGTCACTGTGGTGTGAACATCGTCTTTTGACATTTTTATTGTTTTGTTTGGGATGTTGGATATTAAAGACTCGTAACGCACGAAAAAACTTCTTTTTATCTTTTTACATGATGGAGATGCACCGATCAGACGTTTGTGGCCGGTTTCCAATCTCTGGCTGATTGTAAAATGACATGATTTTTCTAAACATTGTGATTTTAAACTGATGTTAGGCTTAAGTGCATTTAGGACAGCTAACACTAAGTAAACACAGACTTCTGGCTGAGATTTCAGAGCTGCCAGCATTTCTATATTTTCTACATGACAACCAGTTAGATTCAAAGAATAAAACAGCAATCCTGGTCATCTGTTTTAAGTCTCACCGTCTCATACTTTCTACCGGCCAAAATAAAGTTTAGAAAAGTTTTAACAAATTGTAAAAAGTTCTGCTTTCTTTTAATGAGCATCCGACATCTTTGCAATTCCTATGATCTATTTCTAAAAATACTAGATACTGAAAAGTAGCTGCATTAGATCCTTCCTCACAAACCCTCCACCTTTCATGTGATGCATTCACTGATCGTAACAGATTGGACATTCCAGTTTACAGTCATATGTGAGGGATGCTATAGATGGAAAGTCATCAATTTCTGGTCGCAGCAGAAAACTCGGTGCATCTCCAGCTCTAGCAGGGGTCTGCAACCTTTACAACAAAAACAGACACTTTTTACACCAGTCAAGCTCAATAAAAGCTCTTTGGTGCCACAAAAAAATGACACAACCTTTAAAATAAGTTTAATCTAAATTTGCGTAATTAACTGATTATGGCCACTTTTTTTGCAACGACTATTTAATCTTTTAGTCTTTCTGTTTTAAGGTAACAAAAACTATGAAAGTTGGGCAGAAAGAGGATAAGATTAATGTAACAAAAAGAAATCAATAAAGAAATGCATAGTGTCTAACCTGATGACAAAAAAATAATAAAAAACTTTGAACAGTATTTGTCAATCTGTTGGACTTATTTTATGCAATTATTCCATTGAAACAGGGAAAACCTTTAGCTAAAGCTACTGGGGAAAAAACTACTTGCAGGTTGCAGACCCTTGTTTTAGAAAATTCCCCGTAAACATTAAATTTGACAAATACTGATAAGAAAATATCTTTTCTGTTGTATTTATAGAGGAGGAACCTTGTTGAAAGTGTGTACATCCGGGTTGAGGTAGTAGGTTGTATGGTTTAGAATGACACCCTGGGAGTTAACTGTACAACCTTCTAGCTTTCCTTGGAGTACATGTAGGACTTCCAGCTTGGCTTAAATAGTTCTCTTAGTAACAACTCAAACTTCCATAAGGCTATATCTGTTTGCCAGGTGTGGTGATCTACCTTTAAATTAGTCTTTGTTCTTTTTTTTTCTTTTATTCTTTGATTTTAGGCATGATGCGTGAGGTTTGCTGGCCTGCAAACTAAAAAAAAAATAATAATAATAAAAGTTCTTCCTGTTTTTTTTTTTATTCCAATAGAAAATAGGTCCAGTTTTATGTTTGAAAGGGAAGTTGCAAATGAGACTTCTTTTAACCAACCAAGATTTTTTAAATCTACAAATATTTTGAGCTGAAATCACAAAAAACTGGAACAATTAAACTCATGATGTTTTTGTCAGTGTAAGGAGGGTTTAGACAGTTCAACAGTTCTCCTAAGGTTTGCACCTTTGTGCAGGTCTCTGTCCATCTGTCTGACAGGTTTTAGCATCCAAACATGGCTCTCTCTAAGCACGATCAATAAAAGTATCAGAATTCATTTTTTCCAGTGTGACTATTTCCCCTCAGGCTTTACTGTTAACCTTATCCAAGCTCTTGGCCCTGGGTTATTCCCTCCTGGATCTGGGCGATGTGTCAGGTCTTGCCATGAGGGAAAAGCGGACTGTTTATATTTCTCTGAGCCTTTTGATGCATTGTCCACACTTCCATAAAATGAGCATTTATGCTGTGAGATCCAGTTTCAGGCTTAAAGCTTGCCTGGTCGACACCGAAGTCTCTGTTTACTGCGGACCCCAACACTCTGCGTATCAGTGTGCCTCTCAACCATAGCTTGTAAAATGACTCGGCAGCGGCACGCGGAAGAAAAATGGCCTGGCAGATCAGCTTGAAATTGTTTCTCTTCGGGGTGACTTGATCTGAAATGCAGCTTGTGCAGAAAGTGCTGGTTGTCATTTCTGCTGTAGTTGTTTATCATGGTGACAGAGTATTTTCACCTTGATGGATGGCAGTGTTTCTGCCAGGTCTGAGGCCTGCAGCCGAGCGGACATGTTCTCTCTAAAGGTGTCATTTAAACAATTAGCTCAGGTTTCAATCGGATGACGGCGCTGGATTTGCTGTGATTGTTTGATGCTCAGTCTGATGGCTGAAATCCAATTTTAATTTGATTGAAAGCATCCTAATGGTTGATGCAAGTGATGTAAAAATGTTTCTTTATAGGGCTGAAACAATCAGATTAATTGTGATTAATATATTATTATAATAGTCATCAACTAATTAGGTAATACATTAGTTCAATAACCGATTAATCCGATTAATTGTTTTAGTTTTACCTGACCGAGCGACACACTTAATTACACCAAGATTTAAAAAAAAAAATAAACATTTTGCATTTAAGATCAAAAAACGTTTTCGTCCATCAATCTGCTCTATCAAGAACTCAAGAGGAAAAGTTTCAGTTTAACCTTGTTTAATTTAATAAAAAATCTTTTTTAAGGAGCCTTTGGCATTCCAATTATTATTCAATTAATCAAAAAAAATGATCGACAGATTAATTGATTTGCAAAATAACTTGAGTTAAAGCCCTAGTTCTTTACATCTTACACATTAATACCCCTAAAAGTCACCCTCTGTTTCCTATTAACTTGTGAATAAGTCAAAGCAGAGATCATTGGATGATCAATAATTATAATCTCTAATGATCATTTAACAGGTTTTATTGTGGGATATGAATCTGGGGTATTTCCCTTTTATCCTGTATCTTCAGCATCAGTTTCAGAAGGAAACGCCTCCATGGTTGACTAAACATCATCTGAAGTCACATAAACAGAAAACAGCAACAACCAAGAAAACAAGCAGAAATTATTATTTCAAAACGGAAGAGGCTCCTCTCTATGGTGAAGTGTTTATTTTAAGACCTTTAATTACTTTTCATCTCTCTTGACCTGTGGACAAAGACAATTTAAGGTCAGATCGCCATACGCTTCAAAAAACACCAAAAAGTAAGTAATTCGATTGTTTTTTGTACATGACTAAAGGGATACACACCCATTGAGGTAGTTTAAAGTATATTTTTTGTACAAAAATAAAGGGATAAACAAAATAAAGATAACAGGTTCTGGTCTGACCGGGTTTGCTTTACATTTAATAAATCAATTCTAGGGGAATGACAGGGAATACTTCCACTGTTTCCATCCTTAGATGGGAATCAATTGAATCATTTCGATCATCTTTAATCTAAAAGTTTGGAAAGTCTGACTATGTTTCAAAAAGACGAACAGATTATGAAATATGTTTAGCCTTTTCCTTCCCTCTTGACTCGTGCTTCTAAACTGGTTCTGTGTTTTTCAAACTGTCAGATTTGGATCTCAAATATGGCAATTTTATTTATTATCTTAAAGGAAATAAAATGATAAGATCAGATGATAAAGATTGTGTTTTAGTCTTTTTTTAAAAGCTTTAAATATTTCCAGGTCTTCAAAAGTCTTCACATCTTCCTTCACAGGTTTTAGACATTTTTTTGTTTCTTTGTTTTAGATTTATTTATCCACCTTCTATCCTTCTTTTTAAAGATTTGTAATGGATTTAGATTCATCTGGAAGAATTATGCACGCAGCAATCATGGTTCTAAGTTTCAGGTTCTGCCAGAGGAATCAGGATGTTTAATAAACTGATAAAATCTATCAGGCCCTTGATGCACAGCTGCAAACAGCTCTGGTCAGAAGGGACTTTCTGTCTCTAGCATTGTGCTCAAACCTGAAAAAGAAATGTTGCACATATGTCTGGGTTTTTTTGCAGGAAACTATGTTTAAAATAATCTGCTTGGAAAACCACAGATTTTATGGATTTTTGACAGCTTTTACAATAGCTGTTAGAGCACTAGGCTACTGTGTAAAAGACGCTCTTATATTTAACTCAGCCTCCCTGCTTAACAATTGACGTATGTTCAAAATGTTAATGCTCCATCCTGTAAGGTTTTCATACGTCTGGCAGATTTAGATGTACATTTACTTTCATTTAGCAAATATATGCCTGCCAGAAATGTAAGAGTCTATTTATTTTTAGAATAATTACATGATTAAAATTCTTCCTTCCCTTTCTTAAAATCACTGTAGAAGTATTTGTAAGACTACAGCAATCACAGGGTTCGTATAACATATGTAATTTTTTTATGTTTCCACTTTGTGATGAATCGTTAAAAGCTGAACGACTTCTTTTTACCCTGATTTTTTGGTGTCTATCAAGTTTTCTGTTTGATTTCAGTCAGGATTCAAAAATGTAATTAATGCCAAAACAGAACATACTACAGAAAAATTCACATTTTCCATTCAACTTAAATCTGGTACATCTATGAGTAAATAACATCTTTAATATATGTCTTATGTTTTAACATTAAACAGTCTTAAATTCAATAGATACCCTTTATTATTTCTATTCTATTCAGATTTTCTATGATAGATGGGATTCTATGATAAAACGCAATAGATAATTGTTCAGATCCAAATGCTG